GTACCCGGAATCTGATATTCTCCACCATTGAGAGCGTGACGGATATGAATGGGTTGCCCTCGACGTTGTGACTTGACCATAAGCCATTCTAACCATTCAATAGAGATCTTGCTGAAATTATCTTTACTGGCGTATCCTTGAGAAGGCACGACAGCAATAGGGCTTGTCAGTTTTTGATTTCCAACTGCTGTATTTTCCTCTTTTTCCAGGTCGCTGAGGGCTACCCATTTTCCATCAAGCAACACCCCTTTTACCCCCTCAAAGTTCTCCATCTGATGCCAGGTGGATGTCTGGTCCCTCGTAATTTCTACTTCAAGGTTGTGTTTAAGAAATAAAGTTTTATAAATACCCATACAAACACTGGCAATCGTTACGTAATTAAAGGGGTCTACGCCATCTATGGTCGTTGATGAAATAGTTCCATCGGGTTGAACATGCGAAGTTTCTATTGTCGTGGCTTGAAGTACAGTATTTCGGAAAGCTATGCAACCCCTTCTCAAGATGTCGACGTCTGAACGACAGTACTTCAGCATCTCCTCCTGAAAGTTAAATGTTTCGGAACTTTTACTTGCATGCCATTGAGCCAATTTCTTTCTCTCTCCCGATGACATTAAGTTGTATCCGTAATACTCTAGATCAGGAAAGGGACCCACGTAACTTTGATTTTCTTTCCTGTTAAAAAAAATGTGGAAAAAATCCTTTACTGAGTTCCTCTAAACCAAAGGCTTCGGGGATCTTTGCCAGTTTCATCGGTAGGAAATTCAACGAATCAAGAAAAGTTAGATTCAGTTTGTTGGCGATGTGCATGTACATTACTTTGGATCCGTTGTAGATGATTTTGTCAGGACGAATCGAATGACGGTCTATGAGAACCTCCAAAATGGGATATAGATCAAAGCTTTTGGCATTGTGGGCGATCAAGATCGTGTTTTTAAGATGAGGTTGAGTCACGTAAGAACAAAACCGTTGTGCTGCATCTTCTCCTCTAAATACAAGTTCCCGATGACCGCAGCTATCAGGACAAGGTGGACCCACAAACTTTGATTTTTTCATTTTAGAACATCGGATGCAACGTACGCCGCACTTGCTACATTTCGAATTTTCTTTTAAATCTTCATTTTCACAATCGTGGCATGAGGTTTGTAGTACAGCAAAATTGACCTTATGCTGTTCCAGACCGCAAGACGGATCTTGACAATGTCGACACAGCCTACAGCTTGCACACTGATGTCCTTTAGGAGCACATTCTCGACATCTGATGCCAGAAGAGTTGTATCCCTCCTCACACTGATAAATATCGTCTTGTCGCGTCTCAAAGTCATAAAAGATGAATTTCTTCGTCTTTCGTTCTTCGGGATCCAAACTGCAAGATTTTTGAAAACAGAGATGTTCCCCTACGCGGTATTCCAAACAACTGGAACATTGCCACTCACCGCAGACATGAAGTTTGGGATTGCGTTTAGCAGCTGAAAGTTTTACGCGACATTTCTTACACTGATGCCACAGCTCGCATGCAGGAGGAATCTGTTCTTTCTGCACAGTTTTACCCACCTTATGTCTTTTGAAACACTCGAGGGAACGGCACACGCGACCACAAGATAAGCATCCTACTTTTATTTCCGTTTCCACACAGTTATCGTGCAGACACACATCACAAGAAGTTGAACACGTATGCTTGAATTTGGTTTTGTAAGGTTTCAAACAAGTATGACAAAAATAAGCTGCATTGAAAAAGCCTTGGATACTACTAATGCCATGCCAATGTTTTTCATTTTCCGATTCTACGTGGTACAAAAACAGACATGTTCGCTCTGGCTCCTTTGCTACCTTGACAAATTTATTCCCTACTCTCGATGACACGACATTGACACTCACGTCCAGCAGGTTTTCAAAAGGTTCTATGTCGTTCAAGCCCAGATATCGGTCAACAGGTACACCAGCTTTTCTGCAAAGTTGCAATGCCATCTCTGTCTGCCCTTTCTTGCGAGATTTTTTGAGCAAGTTACCATAATACCATTTTGGAACGGTTTTGTGTTGAATCGCGTGCTCTAGAATTGTTCCAGGATTCCCTCTGATTAAATGCTCCCATTCATTGGCATCAACCTTCTTGCAGGTTTTCAAAAAACACAGACCTATGGCAATGGGTAAGCATAAATTGTTGTCATTTTCCACATACAGTACAGATTTCTTTCTCATGAGGGAATTCCCGGGTCCAAAGAGAGACGTGACAGCCAATTTATTTCCACTCCAACTTCCTCCTCTCATCATATTGATGGATCCTACTGTAACGAGCAGGTGATCGTCCACAGGTATATTTTCGTTGGAATTCAATACCTTGGTGATTTCCGACATCACTGTGTCCGAGTTTAAATTCTCCCATGACTGCAGTGGCACAACTATGGCATTGTTTAAATTTGGGTGACTTAGGACCACTCGACCCAAATCAGCATCACTACCTCTGGCTTGTGACAAAACGTCATCAAACATATCATGCAAATTGTCATAAATGTCCACTAATTTTTCCCCTCGCCATTGGTCGTTAAATTTGATCTTGAAACTCGTGTCAATGGCCAGGTTCTTTTTATAAGTCCTCGTGTCCTTTTTCCATATAAAGTACGGTTTTTCAACAGGTTCATTCCCACCTCCGGATTGTCCGCTGGTAGATGGTTGGTCATCAGTATCATGTGTCAGTCTTGGTCGCTTTGCGGGGGCATCCAATTCTTGTACCACCTCTTGCCACAAGTCATCTATGTATCTCTCCCATTCAAGCTCTTGCAATCTGTTCTCAACCTCCACATCACCTACCAGACCGTTGGCTGCTGCAAAGAGTTGTATAGTATCTGGATCCTCCAAGGAGTCAAGTATGTCTTTCAGAAGGCTGTTGTCCGACATCCTTTTAATACCAAAATTTAAATCAAAATGAATTCATACACAATATTTTAATCTGACCTCAGCATTCTGCAATAAGCAAGTTGAGTTATGTATTTTGTGTGTGTATATATATATATATATATATATATATATATATATATATATATATTCTCGAACAATTTTAATTGTTATTCACTCAAATATAAACAGATAAATAAAACACTTGAGCTTCAAAAAAATTTTTTTTTATTTCATGATACATAAAAATACTTTTTACCTTGTATCAAATAACAAAAAAAACTAAATAATAAAACATGCATAATAAAAAATATACAACTTATTTTAAAAGAAAAAAAATCTAAACAACTGTATATGTTGATCCAAATTATATGAGGCTTATAAGAAAAAAAAATCTTGATTCCTCTTTTTGTCTCATGGAATGTAAAACAAAAATTCTGTAAACAACATCTAAGAAATAGCCTACCTTGGACTAGAAAACACTGCAGTACATAATCTCACTTTTTTTTTTATCAACAATGCAAGTTGAAAAAAACTATCACACAAGAAAAGAGACCTTTTTCTCGTTTTAAGAATTACTGAAAAAACAGCACCACAATAGATATATCTTATCTCAGAATAGATATTTCAAAAAATACACAATACAGGTAAACGTATTGATCACATAAAAAATAATACTCGTATGGTCGTTATATTTTACCATGTATGAGGTATCATGAAATTTAATACTGTACACACCTAAGTACTACAAAATCTGGCTTTCATTAAACAATCAACAATCAAGTAAGAATAAAATCCCCCAAAACGTCCAACTTCTCATACCTTACATAATCTCATGTAAAACATAACATTAGAGCAAACATCATATGTACTAAAAAAATCTCTGTTTTCATTCAACATTAGGGTAAAAAAAAATCATTGGATGTTGTTCTGTAGAAAAAAAATCCTTCTACACACACAGACAGTTCCTTTTTCTCTTTCACTTTAAAAAATAAGCTTAAGCACTTTCATGCAAAACATAACTTTGATGGAAACATCATAGCACATGTCAAAAGTACTAAAAAAAATTCTCACTTTTAGACATCCAAGTAGAAAAAAAAAATCATTCAATGTTGCTCTGCAGAAAAAAAAAATTCCTTTGACAAACACACTAACAGCCAATCCTCACACAAAATTCAAAATTCTCTTCACTTTAAAACCTTTTTAGCTGTTGTGGATCTGTTTGTTTCTGCAAATACCACAAACCCTCACCCCAAAACACACACAAAGTTCCAAATTCTCTTTACTTTAAAACCTTAACTTTTTTCCCTGTTTTCGATCTGGTATTTGCGGAAACAGGCAGATCCACCAGAGGTGTTTGAGCACAACTAGTACTAGAGGTGTCCAAGATTTTAGGCTGAGAGGTAGCAGTAGGTTGTATTACAGGTAGGTCTCTTTGAGCGTCCGATTCTTGCTGAGTGGTGGGTGGGGAGTTAAATAAAACTCGTTTTGCGGTATGGGTGTTTACCAACTCAGGTAAACTTGAGGATGGTCTCAGTAGAGGTTTGCTGGAGCAAGTGGTGAACGTGATTTCAGATGTGTTGGTCGACCCAGGCTGCAAAGTACTATCGCATGCAGAACTTGGCGTTGTTGCCTCACTGGGTGGTGTATGCGGAAACATGGGAATGTGTTCTCCCTGTGTTGCAATCTCCTCTTGCACATCATTGTTGTTGCGCTTTTTACATAGGCAATGACGTCTTCCTCTTGAAAGGTATCGCCTAATACAAAGGAGAATGAGTGCAGCAGTGACAGATGCGGCCCATGAGAGGAAACCTATTATACAAAAAAAATAATAATATAAATAATACATCTAGTTTAAAAAAAAAAAAATGATTCAATTTATTACTGGTATTTGGAACTATAGATTTGCTCTAGTTTCTTTCAACTGGTTTACACAAGCTCATGTTTACTGACAGATGGACATACACAGTGAGATTCCAATATTATATGAAGATTACACAATTTATTTTTTTTTCCAATGTAAAAATTAAAGCATTATTTTGTTTACTATTTTCAAAATCAATATTTTGTTCCAATTAAATTCACAATTTGATGTAGAAGGACACACTGACCGATAACTTCATCATGCTCATAGATGTCCTCAGTGGTTGATCCTTGTGATCTTACTGGTACCGTTAATTTGGGATGTATTTCTAAAATGAGATGAATACTGTTGTAAGTTGCTACAAGATAACTAGTATTACTGAATTAACAAATAAAAAAAACAATACATGCAGTTTAAAAAAGAATGTAATTATACTTGCTTAATTACAACTTTTAAATACTTACTACTTAAATACTATGTACTTATAATTAATAATAATAATTATTTAAGGACTAATATTATGACATCCATTTCTTAAAACTGGTCTACAAACTATTGTTACTGTCAGATGGAAAGATATGTTGAGATTTCAACAGCATGTAATTGCTGATTATCATCTGAAAATTACACAATTGATTTTTTTCTGCAAGCATTTTGCCCTTATTAAATTACTAATTTAGAGTACACTGCCACACTGACCTACAACCTCATGGTGTTCATAGATGGCTTTCTCTCCTCTTGGTACAGGGACAGTGGTTGATCCTCTTGATCGTAATTTAGGATGTACTTCTAAAATTAGATAAATAATGTTGTATGACTAGTATCTCATCAAAATGTCACATTTGGTACTTTTGTTCTCTCTCTCTCTCTCTCTAAAACAGAGATATAATTACAGGGTCATATAATACTTGATATCAAATTTCCTACATTTCCTTTTAACAAATATGTTATATCCTGTTGTCTTTGTGGGTTATCACAATAGACTGCCACGTGTTTGTTTACATCACTTATTTTACAAAACCATTAATGTACAAGTGCTCTATTCCATGAGTTAATATGCACACACACACACACACACACACACAAATTTGGGGTAACAGCTGTGTAATGCAACTTTAAACACACGTGTTACAGTTTTGGTGTGCTATTTGCTTACTTTTCAGTGTGTCCTTGTTTGTCAGTTCTTCTCCACTTGTACTCGTAAATGTCCATTCGTTTACTACTAATAAAATAATGAACAGTATTATATAAACACTTAACAAATATTCAGACTTGGAAATTTCACACAGTTAAATCAACTAATAATCAATTACCTCCACGTTGTGTTGATTGACTGTAATTGGGACGGTCATCAATCACACGAAATGGATCTGCAAAAAAAAAAGTAGATCTAGTAAGAACTTGAACACAACACCAGGTATTTTCAAAAGGGGTGATGAGTGGCGACTCGACATATTCAAAACATTTCTCGTCTCTATAATATGTACCTGCACAAAGTCGGTAGTAGGGATTTTGAAAATATAAATAACACAATTAAGATTTCAATGTCTATGATCAAGAGAGCATATCAACAGTTAGCCTACTCTGAACTGTTCCCTCAAGGTCATCAGTTATGCAGTCGAGGATGTTCCGGATAACGAACCCGATGATATTGTTTGTCCCAAATACCACAGCTCCGAGACCAGTCAAGTAAAATTGGGGACGAGTAAATTTTGAAAAATAAAATTAGTTTGATAAGGTTTATGATGCCATTGACTAATTGTGTTGAAATATTACTTACCGCATAATCTATTCGGAGCGTGAATTCTGACATCTTTGGGATCACCGATGATAGTGACTTTGCTAATGTAACATCCAGTCACATACACGTCTCTGACTTCAGATGACCGAACGGTTATTTCTCTACATTCGGGAAACATACATTTTCTCACTGGGTTGCCAATTGCTGAGGTAAAGAGCCAGATTAATCCTACTAAGGGAAGACCTCCGCGTTTCTCCATCTTGGGCGGGCGAACACATGTGGCATTTGGGGATTCGCATTTGGGCACAAGGGTTGACCAATGAAAATTACGGTTTCATCATCTTGCATCAATTTAGGTGACATCATGTACCCGCATCGTGTTCCATGCTTATAAAATAATTATTACCAGGGGGCGGATCAAGAAAAATATTGTCATTGATTAATAAAAAGGAGAGGGAGAGAAAAAAAAGATGTTACGTATGCTTAAAAATATGTTACTTTGTTGTTTTTTTTTTTTAAATTTTCTTATTTCAAACAATCATTATAAATATGCAAATACAAACATAAGAAAATAGAGAGAGAGAGAAGAGAGAGAGAGAGCAGTACATCAATGGGGAACAATTTTTCCCAGTGTATTCTTTCATGATTGAACATGTTGAATGTACATAGATTTAGAGTATATGCATTTATGTGGGTTAATTAATTTCTCGAGTCCAGTCTTAAAAAAAAAAAAGATTCATGCATGCGTTACACCCGTGAGAAATATACACGTTATTTTTAATATACAAATGATTAACTAGGAGTGTCATCTCGTCTTTTGCGCAGATGTGTCACGATCTGGCGCTTGTTTTTGAAGGAGAATAAAATTACCGGGTTAATTTGTATTACATCTTACGTCAGGAAATACGAAATTATGAATATTAATTATCATCACGAGGTGTCACTCTATTCCTGTACCATATAATAATTTGACAAGGAAATAAAATAGTTTAACCCCACCCTCTATATTCTCTATCCTCAAGATTGGTATATATATATATATAAGTTTATGGGGATGTAATCTGAGCACACCACGGTCGGAGATAAATTTGAACCAAACATGGCTGAGGAATATGTACCGATTTTGTAAGTTATATTTATATATATATTAGTATTTTTTATGTATGGAATTCAATATTCAATCATCTAACACATTGTTCTTTTCATCGAAATCCTTTAATTGACATTTGGGTTAAGATTTAATATAATTTGATAATAGCATCTCATATGCACAGTCAAAATTATTTTCCAACACGTGGATGCAAGTGTGCTAAATTCTGATAGCACTATTTTGAATTGACTCTGTCTTATATACTAGTAAGTATATATCTACGCCGTACGTACTGAGTGCATACACTGCACGTCAAAATTTGACTGGAAAATGCTTACATGTAATAGTATGTATTTTAGCATGAAATAAACAGAGCATTACAAAAAAGTTAAGATTTTTAGATGCATCATGAGAAAATATCCTCAAGGGTACTGAAATAAAAACCTGATTAGTACTAATTTATATTTCTTCTTACAATGTTTAAAGTAAAAATCCTTACATGGTTGAACTTGAACAATAGTATAATTTTTAAAAAATATACATATATTTATTTTTTTTTTTTGGTAACAGTGAGGATGCAGATTTTGATGCACTGTTGGACAGTCTGTGCGACACTCCATTACAGTAAGTGTTACACGATGTCATAAATATACAGAACTTAGAATATCCCCTATTAAGAAAGTATCACACAAAACGGACTTGAATGATTCGTTCTTTCGTGCTTATTACTTTTTTCATCCTTGCACAATAATAGAAAACATGAATTTTGTTGCTGTTGTTGTTGAACCAGATTGATTTTAGTATTGATTTTTTCTGATTTCTTTTTTTTTTTATTTTTGTTCCCGTTATTAATTTTTTTAAAACAATATTTTACTTCTTTATTAAATTTTGTCTCTCTTTTTTTTTAAGACCTCCCTCCTTTCCTCTACCAACATCTTCCCAGATGTCTGAAAAATCCACTCCAGCGGTCCCAAGGAAAGAGTCCTCTGTTTTAAAGACCCTGCTTACGAACCCGTCCCTTCAAAATGTAAAGGGATCATCCCTTCCTAAAAATAGGAATGCAAACAATGCCCTCACATCCTCAGGGTCTGCTGAGAACTTGCCTTCAACATCCAAGACGAACTCAAAGAGGAATGAAGAGAACTCAATCCTCACTACTTTTAGGTAAGTCAATTAAAATAAATGTGAAGTATAAATTATTTATAATGTGCCTCTCCGTTTCATACTCCAGGTTTGCACAGTATTTAAGATTCTTTTTTTTTTCTTTTAAAGAAAAAACGACCCAAAGAAGTTCCAGGATCTGGAAAATCGTTTCACGGACCCAAAAATAACCAAAACCAGAGAATTTCAAGTGTTGAAATCCTTACAAAAAAGGATTTTAGAAGACATGCAACAGAGCGAAATTATTGTGAACTATCTTGCCGACAAGTATGACAATGAACCAGAGAAAAAACTTGTGAAGTTTTCTTCTCTACAATGAAAAACTAACTCTAACGTTCATGACACAAGGTTCAGTAAAAGAGGATTTGAATATAAAATATATCTATTTGTAAATTAGCAGATGAACCCGAGAAGAAGAGGGTCTAGTTTGATTCCCTTCGATAAGCTCTAAGCTCAATCGCTTGTAAATGTAACATAAACTGAAAATAGCAATTTAAAGATGTAAAACTGTAAGTTAGCTTTTTTTCTTCTTCGAGACTGTTCTTTCTGTAAAGAAATTTATTACCTAGGATTTTGACCAAAGCTTAAAATGTTTCATGTTCCTTTGACCTGGTATAATTAATCTCCCTACTTGGACTTGTTTTTAAAATCTAAATGAAAATTAACGTACCTTCAGAAGGAAAAAAATCTTCAGTTATTCTTCCAACGATTTTCCACTTGTATTACTTTGTGGTATATGCCATAAATTTTTATATAGGAAAATATCAAGGTGACCTAAGTCTGTTCTAATTATCAGGTGACTCCAGGCTGTTAGTGGCCTCAAAATTATCAAGGTGACCTTAATCATGAGCTGAATGATGAAATGGGTGACCCCAAACGGATGACCTCAAACTGACCCATATATCAGAGTGACCCTGTTATCAAGGTGCCCACAAGGTTACCTATATATTAAACTGACCTCATTAGCCTCAAGGTGACCCTGTTAAGGTAAACCAAATTTTGAGATGCCCTCAGACAGTTTTGATGACTAATGTAAGTGCCCCCAGACTGTTTTGACCTCAGACAGTTGTGACCTTGTATTGACTTTGACCTAGTACCCTTGATCTGACCTACTTTCTTGACCTTGACCTATATCAATGACGTCATTGCCCTCAGAGACTACAGACTATACCCCTCACTACTTGTATGACTAAGAGGGTTTTTGAGTTATTTAACAATTTCTTGTTTTAATTTGATTAAGTTATGTCTTAGCGTCTCCGGTGCAGGGAGTATAAAGCACTAAGAGGTATATGTCATTCGATATTTAACTTTAAGAGCTATATCAAAGGAGGATTCTTCTCATATTTCTTGTATTTAAAACTTTAAAAAATTTCAAGGGATTCAAGAAGACATAATTTCAAAGTGACGATATCAGTTTGATTAAATTTGACCGTTTTATTTTAGAACAGGTCAGGTCAAGGTTGTATCTTTTTCCTTCACATTAAAAATTAACCAAAAAAATACTGTTGCCAATCATGCGATGCCAACATTTATTTCAAAAGTTTAAAACAACCAAAATGAATTTGAAGTGCCATATTTATATTGGATTCCGAAACTTCATAAAAATCCTTACAAACAAAGATACATAGCGGGTTCCAGTAAATGTTCAACCAAGCCTCTATCTTTACTCCTCACTAAGATATTAACAGTGGTGAAGGAGAAACTTCAAGAGTACTGTGCAACAATATATTCGAGAAGTGGTGTAAATCAGATGTGGATACTTAAAAATTCCAAGGAACTTTCGGAAAATTTGAAATCACAAGATTTTACCAAAATCAACAGCTTAAAAACTAACGACTTTTCAACTTTATACTCAACCATTCCCCACGATAAATTAAAGTCCAGGCTTTTTGATATCATTGACAGCTGCTTTTTCGATAAAAATGGAACTCGTAAATATACTTACCTTGTCATTGGTCATTTGCAAAATTATTTTGTTAAAAAACATTCTGATTGTACACACAAGTACTCTGAAGTTGACATTAAAAAGATGCTTGAGTTTCTAATTGATAATATCTATGTGGTTTTCGGAGACCAGGTCTTCCAACAATCTATTGGAATTTCCATGGGTACCAATTGCGCCCCGTTATTAGCAGACCTTTTTTGTATTCATATGAAGCAGATTTTGTTCAAAATCTTGTACGTGAAAAGAAGAAAACACTTGCTGTGGCCTTCAACTCGACATTTAGATATATCGACGACGTATTGTCAATTAACAATGACTGTTTCCATTCTTATGTCGATACGATATATCCTGGTGAGCTTGAGATAAAAAATACCACAGAGTCTGACACATCT